CTAAAAATACGCTAAGGTGAATGGGAATTAGGAAAGTGTGTAAGTGTGGACAAGGACAAGTGAGTAGAGAAAATGGAAGAATCCACTGGTTTCCCAGTTTTGTTTCGGGTGCATGTGTGTCTATGTGTTTTTCGGGTGTTTTTGGGTGAAAAGGCAGGGTTAAGGGGACGTCCCCCCCTTGAGCGGCTGTGTGATGGCTTTGCCCACAGGGACCTCCTGCAGACCCTGACTGAGGAGGAGCTTCAGACCTTGGAGCGAAGTCTCTGCGTCTCCCAGGAAGACGGAATCGTCCCCCCCAGCCCCGCTGCCATTCTGCCCTCCGACACGCCCCCCAGAGCCTCCGGAGAGCCCCCACAGCCTCAGGACAAAGAGATGGCGGGGGGCCCGTGCCCACAGGGGGCTGAGGAAGACGACGATGACTGGCTGACGCTGGTCCTGGGAGACGACCTGGACGGGGACCTGGCGTGCTCCATGCAGTATGATGAGCAGGAGCTGCAGGAGCTCAACATGATGGTGCATCGCGTGGGTGATGAGATGTCCACCCTGCTGTCACCCCCTAGCCAGGCACCCTCCCCCGCTCATGCCGGCAGGGCCCGCCCAAGCTCCAGCGCCGAGAGTTCACCATGCCGAGGGCCCGGTTCTGGTTGGAGGATGGGGTCAGCGGGCCCCGAACAGGATGAGGATGGACGTGTGTTCTTCATGGATGACCTGGATGGGGCGGGGGAGGCGCTGGCGGGGGCGGAGCAGTCGTGCCGTGCCTCTTGTGGGGGCGACCCCCGAGTGCCACGGACTGGGCCCCCGCCTGCTTCCCTCCAGAACGGCTGGTCAAAAGAGCATGTAGTGGAGGCCCTCCAGTGCGCCAGCAGCTCCCGGGGCCCCGCCTGCAAACCCTGCGCATCCGGGAGCACGGACCCCCCCACCTACGTCGGGAGCTGGGACGCGAGCGCGGATGACGCCGAGACGGCGGAGCTGATCGCCCACCGCACCGGGGGCATGAAGCTGTCCTCCACGGTAATCTTCAACCCCCGCTGCCCCGGGCTGGCCGGGCAGGCTGGCGAGGAGGCCGCTGACAAGCTGCTGGTGCTGGAAGGGGAGCACTGCCCCGGCTTGGCTGCCCACAACAAGCTGGGAGGCCTGGTGACCACGCACTGTCTGCTCAACTCCTGCGTGTGCTGCGGCAGCTGCGAGGACCCCGGTGAGCCCGGCCTTGATAAGGGGCGCCACGCCCCCCCCAGCCCCGTGGTGCATGCCTCCGGTTGCCTGGCACCCAGCAAGGATCTTCCTGGGAAGGGCGGCAGCCCAGGCTGCTCATCCCACAGTGCCCCCCTGTGTGCAGAAGGCCTGGTCCCCCCGGGCTCCTGTGAGAAGTGCCTGAATTTGGCCGCTGGGCCAGCGGTACCTGACTTGCAGGGCGGAGGCCCCAGTTACCCAAAGAGAACTGAGAGACCAAGGCAGGAGAGGAGGGTGGAGGTGGGGAAGGTGGGGCCTGGAAGACCCACGGTGGAGGTGGATGGCAGGACTAGCACAAGAGCCCGGTCCAGGTAAGCAAGGGTGCAACCCTGTGTCAGCTAGCTGCTGGGGGAATTCCTTTGTTATTCTGTGCTGTCTCAGGGCATGCTGGGATATCACTGTACTTCTTATAAACAGGACAATTCTAATCAGTGTTGTTTTAGTTCTGATTTTTTCAATTTACTGTTTATTTCTGTATTATTTTCAGTTTTTATTTGAAATCCAGTTTAGTTTTAGTTTTCAGTGTGATTTTATTAGTTTTAACTTTTAAAATACAGTGGTACCTCAGTTCTCGAACTCATTAGAACTCGAATTTCTTAAAAGTCGAACCAACCAGTTTGGAAAAAAAATTACCTAGGACTCGATCTGAATCTCAGAAGTCAAACCGTGAACGCCGACCTAAGATAACTTGTACGCGTGGGGAAATGAGTCGCGCCGCGTATCTCAGCGGAAACAAAGGGTAACGCTTCAGTCTCAGCCTCGCATTCGCTGTGATAGCATCGTGCATGTTTACACTAGCTGTAAAAATACATTTAGACAATGATAGACAGTAACAGTAATTATTATTATATAATAAAATACATTTAAAAACAAAGATTTCTTATTCATTATTTTAATATTAATAATAAACCATTAATACATTTAATTATAATGATATTGTTGTGCCGAGCGGGACAGAACAGAGACAAAGGCGCAGACGTCAGGGTATCGGGGAATACGGGGTTTAATTACAGGTAAGGCAGGCAAAACGCAGACGGACAATACAATGACCGGACTGGGGAAACAAACTGAAACATGGATGAAATACAGAGGACTAATGACAACAACCAGAAACAGCTGATCACATGAGGATTCCACACGGGGTTAATGAGGGGGCGTGTGGACGATAGGGGCAGGACACATTGTTTTTTTTTTTTTTTTTTACTTTACACATTGTTTGGATAAATTGGACAAATTACTGTTTTGATAAATGTGCTTAGATGTGTTTAGTACAGTATATGCTCTTCTTGTTTTATCCGGTTCATTTTGTCTTTAAATGGGAAAAAAAAAAAAATTTTAGGTGTAATTTTTTGGGGCTGGGAACCAATTAATTGGTCTTCCATTATTTCTTATGGGGAAAATTCGATCAGAACTTGAACTTTTTAGGATTCAATCCGGAGTTCGGAACGGATTAAGTTCCTCGACCCACGAACAATCCTGTTCACGAACAAATCGGGTTAAGAATCAGATGTTCGAAAATTTTTTGTTTCAGTTCGAGAACCATATGTTTCAGGCTGCGAAGACACAAACATCCTCCAAAAGCGAGAAAGTTCTGTTATAGCGGCACCTTTCAGTCTATATTCTTGGTCACAGAAAAACATAAAAAATTGAAAAAAATTCAATGTTTCTGAGGCTTGAACAAATTATTTGTATTTACATTTAAAAAATGGGAAAAATTGATTCAGATCGTGAACTTTTCGGGTCACAAACTGAGTCCTCGAACGAATTAAATTTGTGAGCTGAGGTACCACTGTATTTAGTTTTTATAGAATTCAGTTTCAGCTTAAGTAATTTTATTTTTAAGGATAGACTGGAAGTTGTAAGGTTATTATATGTGCCTAATCTTCACGCAGTTTTCTATTATGTACTAATGTCCTAAAAATGGCCAAACGTGTTCCAGGTATTATAAATAGTAATGATAAGCAAATCATTAGCTAAATAGTATTAAAAATGGTAGTGGAACATATTTGACATTTTATTTCCAGTTTGGAAGTAATATTTATCATTTTGTATAGTAATTAGGTCGTTTTCTAGTGCTGCATGCAGGTAGTAGACCTTTCTGGTATGAGAGCCTAATGAAGGCGAGTCTGATGAGGAGGAGGAAGTGGTGAGGGGAGGAAGGGTTCGATACCCCTGGCAGGCAGAACGCATCAAATACAGACAGACCCCTTACACAAATTAAATGGAAGATGGACAGTTCATTAGTCACATAGCTACTGTCTAAATCAAAATTGGGAGCGAACCACTGTGTTTCTTGGTGGAATGTTAGGCAAGCATTTCAGATGGTGAATTCTTTAATATTTTCCAGTTAACTACGGTAGGGTGTGAGGGCTTGGAATAAAACAGTCTGTTTAAACGTGGCCCATACGTGGGGAGATGAGCCTATGGGACAGTTTGGGCCATCCTGTTCTTCTCGAGAGGCATGAGCTCGCTTCTCCATACTGAACTTCACCCCCGGAGTCCCTCCCGGAGTCCTGCAGTAAAAAAACAAACAAGCTGCCCCGTGACATTTTGCCTAGATTCACTCGTGGACCCCTGCATGTCCCCAAACGCGTTTATTTTAACCTGCCAATTTTTCATCATCGCCAGCAGATTCGGCCGTCTTGTCACCAGCAGCATTTCAGGGATATTCTTCGTGCGTCTTAAAATACCTGCACCTTGTTTTCATTTCTGTGGTAAATTCCAGCATCTCACACACAATCGATGAACTACGCTGCCTTCTGTTTTATATTACTGTCCCTTTGGCCTGTTTTATGTAATTACTGTACACACTGACCTGAGAAGCTGCTGTAGCGAAATGAACTTAATGTATTATAGATTTTAATGATTTTAATTGGGGTTCTGCTTGGTTTGCCTTGAGTTTGTTACTTTGGTTGAGGCATATTAGAAATTGTCAGCTGACACTTCTGTTCTCCTGGTGAATGAACAGCAGAAGCTGTTTGGTGGCCTTTGTGTGCATTGCTGGCATCTTCTGCACCTCCCTTCATTTGTCCTGCAGCTCCGAAGGCTCCCAGCACAGCTCGTTGTGCAGCAGCGATGGGGAAAGCGTGTCCGTCGTCACATGCACCCTGGCCAGCGCATATGCACACAGGTAACCGCATGCCCACAGGGGGGAGACCTCGCAGCGTGTTTGTGCTCCATGCTCTGTGAAATAACTCTGCCCCTGACTGCACCAGCTGATGATGCTGCTTCTGCCCCCTTTGTATCTGTGCCACGGGGGGCCTACGATCAGACACAATCTTCCCTGAGTGGGGTCTTGGATTGAAGTATGACCATCATGCTCTACTATGGCTGCCTTCGCCAGGAAGCGTGACATTGCTCATGAAGACTCACTTCAGCTGTGTGTCAGCCCTTCTGCCCTTAAGCATGTTGGGAGATGGTAATGTTGGTAGCCGACCGCCTTAGAGGGACGGAGTCCTTTGTGTGATATGATCCAGGGCAGTGTTACTGCAGGGTAAGGATGTAGGAATCTGGAATCGGCTTCCAGGTCTTACTGCAATCAGTGTTTGGAAAGTTGCCTGACGCTATAGATTAGCCAGAATATGTCACCGCTTAATTGTAGAATCTAACGTTACGCATTCAAAGTACAGACTCTCCTCTACTTACAAACGAGATACTTTCTGAATGGCCGTTCGTAACTTGAAATGTTCGTAAGTCATTATTTAACAATTTTAAGGGTATATGAAAGTACAAAGAACTAGGATGCTGGGAGTACGCACGCTACGCGGCGGGAGTAGCGGGCAGAAGTCGTACTAGGCGGAATTGGCGCACAGAAAAAAAAATTGATGTTGCGGGCAGGAAATGGGAGCCCAATGAACATAATTTGGACTTATAGTCCTCTTCATTCGTATGTCTGAAAGTTCATAAGTAGAGGAGCATCTGTATTACGAATATTGGTAACACTTCACTTGAGGGGGCACAAACAATGTAGTGGTACACTCTTAATGTGTTAATTAACCAGAAACTAACTGTTAGCTGCGTACTGATCCCATGTTCGTTCATCATTAATCAGTCATAACGCTTCATCTATGTCATGCAGTTCCATTTGTTCATGATTTGTACTTGAGTATTTACTGAGTTACTAAGCTGCTTGTGCCCCCTCATGTGAAGTGTTGCTGAGATGGTTGAAACAAAAGGTGGCCTTGTAATAAGCGGAGTTTGGTGTTTTTTCGAAATGAGAGAAATAATGGTAATCGTAATGGTATTCAGTTTTGTCTGTACGAAGAAAAGCATTATGAAAAAACTTCACAATAATGAAATCACATTTACAAAGCTGAGTCATATTAGTTTGAATGCCAATTCACAGTAGATGTGTCTGATATAAAAGAGGTTTGACAGCAAGCACTTCAGAATATGATTTTTCAACATGACATGAGGCTCTAGCGGAGTTCCAAACAGGCTAAAGACTCGGTGCCGGAATCTGCAGGTCCATCCATCACAAGGATGGATGGATGGATGGATGGATATTCACAGTGGTGGTTTCATGAAAACCAGCTTAAACTCAAATGCCTCCCTTGGTCTCCCCAGTCACCACATCTAAACACCATCGAATCTTTCAGGGCCAAGCAGCAGCACAGATTATGGAGTACATTTCTATCTCCTTCATCCCCCAAGGATCAGGAAGCCTTTCTTGTAGATGCCGTAATATCCCGGTACACGCATTTCAGAAGCTCTGCAGGACCTCCTCCTGTGCCGCTGTCCCTTTGCGGTGGTGCTGAAACATGCCAGCCCTTTCCACCATGTCTGTCTCCACCTTCAATGAGATTTGAGTGTTGGTGGTTTCATAATGCAGAGAGCTGCAGGAGACGCTCTCCTGCCAAGAGCGGTCTGGGAGTCCCTTTCAGCACAGGGTAGAGCGAGTGCCGTTTGATGCATTTCACTACATTGTTAGGTTTGTGATTCTGCATGGTAGAATCTAATTTCATTCTGAAATTGTTACTTCAATTATCCTGCAGGTGAAATTTGAGTTATGCTTATTAAAATCTTTTATAGGTCAAATAGTTCTTGTAATAATAATTATCAGTCCCTGTAAAGATGAAATGACATGAATGCAGGAGAAACGTGTTCCCCTCTGTGTACATTACAGACTAATAATCCCATCTTCCTTTCACTTGAGTATGTACTGTGGTCTTTTCACAGTTTGAGAAAGTAACACCTCTTGAAATACACATTTCTTCCTTGTTGATGAAACCGCTAAGTAAAATCTCATTGCTTGATGTACAGTTACATTGCTGGGACTCCCTCAGCTCCATACACATATAGTATGGTGTTTCCGTTACGTTCAGCAGAATCGCAGGATGCTAAATGGGGAGAGATGATGCATGTAGCGTGTATCATCTTGAAAAATGATTGTCGCTTTTTTTGCAAACGTTTGTGCTGAAAATAAGGGATTGGGTTGTCTATAGTCACCGCTGGAGTTAAGACACACTATTTTATACGGAGGATGAATTTACAGACAACTGAGCGCAGGATTTGCGGAGACGAGCAGAAAAGCTGACATGCACATTAGCTTGAAAGCTGCATCAGGTAAAAAAAAAAATGTGTATAAATGTTTTATTGGGCTGTGGCTCGATAGTGCATCGCCTGTTCAGTATACAGCAGTCACGGGTGTGTATGGGAGCAACGGATATGTTGCTCAAAGTCAGACAGATAGCAAACCAGATTTTCACTGTGGCTATCAGTGCTTTGGGATGCTGACGGCCACGTCATTAAAATCAGGAACCTACACCAGAGCCTTGTGCTTTGTCACTATCTGAATGAGAAGCGAGTTGTATTTAGGTATTTGAAACTGAAGCTGGTTTTCATCTAGCACCAGTACAAACCAGGTTCTTCAGAACAATAATGTGTGTGGTGCTTTTAGCCATTAGATGAGAGACCTTTCCATAGCAGGATGTTGCCACCACCATACATGAACGTGGGAATGGGATGCTGTTGACTGAGTGATGTGATTGGTCATCTGTCCACACATATGCATTTAAACCAGATATACAGTGTGCCGTCCACAATTAATGGGTCCCCTTGTAAAGGTTTGTAAAAAGGGGTTAGAAAAAATCCACCTTTTGATGAAGTGGCTTCATCTCACACTGAATAAATGAGAAAAATCCAACCTTCACTGAAATTAATTTCATCAAAAAAAAATAAATCTGTCATCAAGAAATATTTTGTAACAAAAACACATGAGCCACAATTATTGGCAGCCCAGAATTTAATACTTTGCTGTTATACTGGCAAAGAGAGGCTGTACAGAGACTCCTATAACATTTATAGGGTTGGAGAATACAGTTTCCAACCATTCATTATGGTGTCTTGAAATACATACACTGCTGATTGTGTGCATTTTACCATCTCGTGCTGTATATGGTTCTTTCAAAGCCATTGTTTGTTTGACTGAACCACCCTTTGCCTGATTTTCTTAGTTCTGCTGGGTCAGTTTGTAGGTGCAACCTGGCATAAGTGGTGTGATTCAGCATCAATGCAGAGAAACATTTAGCAACACTGCTATTGCAGAGTAATACATTTTGTACATCTATTAGCTTTTCTTTAAAAAAAAAAAAAGTTAGATTTTTTTTTTTTGTAGAGGTGGGTTAAAACCCAACCAAGTAATCTTGCATGGTAGGTTACAACCACTATGTACCTAATTTCCCTGTAACGACTCTTTAACTACAGCTGCATAATGTCATAATGCTGGTATTAATTACATGGAGGCCATTGAGAGATATGAAGAAAGTAGTCTGATTACCTTTTATGGTGTGAATACAAACATGAGAATGGTGTAAAAGTGCCCACCTACCTCCCGAGGCTGAGTGTGAGACCCACACAGACCTCAAGCCCACCATATTTTTGGTCTGTCGCTTTCAGCTCACTCAGGAGCCTGACCCCAAGCTCTGCTGCGTCCGAGGACTTGGACGACCACGAGATCCAGCTGGCCTTGCAGGCTGCCAAGATGGCTGCCCGGGACAGGATCCGCTCCCGTTTCCACAGCAGCAGTGACCTTATTCATCGCCTCTTTGTCTGCATCTCAGGTACTCCTCTCATTGCATGAAGTTCTGTTAAATTCTGCTGTCCCCATTACCGACGACTGTCTCTGTATAATCATTTCCTGTTGGGTGACTCAGATGTAAAAGCCAGCATTTGGATCTGGGTAACTACAGGATGAAGATCCTAGACCACCCAACAAATCTATTTCTCCTGTAAAGCTTTAGCTTTAAAATTAAGATGCTAAAATACATTTTCCATATTTGTTACATTTTCTGTAATATTGTACCAAACTGCTTTACTTATAATCTCTGAATGAAGTATTGCTCTGGGTATTTTGCAATAACCTCAGCAGTTATCCTGCATTTGAATTCATTCAGTTTTTTTCTCATTAATCTTGAATATAGAACAAGCCATTGCCTATCTGTAAAATCATTTATATGGGGGGTAGGGTTGGGTCGATAGACGATGCCATCGTCCATCGCGATGTTTCACATTAGACATCGTACGATGCCAAATTGGTCGACATCGCCCAACCCTAATGGGGGGAAGATAAAGGTGTTTCATTCAATATCCATATTACCTAATAATAGGTTAAGGCTGGGTTAGGGTTAGGGTTAGGGATGGCAGTAGGTTTAAGGGTTAGGGTTAGGGATGGCAGTAGGTTTAAGGGTTAGGGTTAGGGATGGCAGTAGGTTTAAGGGTTAGGGTTAGGGTTAGGGATGGCAGTAGGTTTAAGGGTTAGGGTTAGGGTTAGGGTTAGGGATGGCAGTAGGTTTAAGGGCAGTATTATGGCTACCATTGGGGTTTAGGCTATTGCTAGCTTTGGCCGTTCGGTTTTTGTTAGGGTTTGGTTTGGCCTTAGAGTTATGGCTAAGTGGCATTTGGGTTATAATTAGTGTTTGAGTTGGCATTTGAAGTCTGTTAATTGGAATTTGGAGATGCATGTTAACTACGTGTCTTTAAACTGCAGGAGGATGTGCAGATTTCACGCACATGCAGACCATGGTGGTGGGAAGCATTCCATTGAGCCACCCGAAGCAACAAATATGTTGCTTTTTTCCTCATTTCTTTTTATAATACTTATTTCATTTTATATACTCACTGACATCATCTTGGTGGTTTTCACAAAAACAAAAAATTAAATAGCTAAAGTTGCTGACAGTGTATTGGCATTTCTTGTCACAGAGACCTATTTATTAGTCTGTAGTGACTCTGCTTTCCGCCGGACTGGCTGTCCGCTGCCAGGATGGAGTGGCGTGAGTGTGCGAGTCGGCAGCAGGACACATGGCCCGCACCCAGCCCACATCCAGCCCACATCCAGCCCACGTCCAGCCCACATCCAGCCCGCACCCAGCTCACATCCAGCCCGCACCCAGCTCACATCCAGCCCGCACCCAGCTCACATCCAGCCCGCACCCAACCCACATCCAGCTCACATCCAGCTCGCATTCCAGCTCGCATTCCAGCTCGCATCCAGCCCGCACCCAGCTCACATCCAGCCCACATCCAGCTCACATCCAGCCCGCACCCAACCAACATCCGGCTCGCATTCCAGCACGCACCCAGCTCACATCCAGCCCACACCCAGCTCACATCTGTCTTTCGCCCACCCAGGTGTCGCTGACCAGCTGCAAAGCAACTATGCCAGCGACCTGCGGAGCATCTTGAAGACGCTGTTTGAAGTCATGGCAACGAAGCCAGAGCTGGAGGACAACGACAAATCAAAAAAAGGTACCATCTGCAGACTCAGCACTGGGACACAGTTGCTGGGTGTTGGTCTTCAGACCCAGGATTAGCTCAGAATCGCTCTTCTTGCTGTTGTTGGTTGACGATATAATCATGATGAAGGGTCTACTCTTACCTTTTATTGTTCTTCAAAATGCAAGTGGCTGGTTTTGTAGTCATTGAAACAATGATCACCTGAAGCTTCTTCAGTCCACTGTCTGTCTGTGCCTCAGCTCCCGGTCTACGCAGTGCCGTTCTGGATGATTGTGCCTTGTGTCAGGAGACCGTTTCCTCTGCCGAGCTGGCGGCCAAGGCTCGAGAGGGTCAGTTTGAGGGTGAGAATGCTGTCCGTAATCTCCATCTCTCTAACCCTCTCAGCAAGATGCTCCTACATCTTCATGGTGCATAGTCTGAGGGCCACATCTAATATGGGAGATACAAATTGTGAATACAATCAGTCAAGCAACATTGCGACAAATGCATTCTTAATATCATGTACTATAATACACACATCCAATGGGAAAAATAGGATTCGGGGAATGCAACTGCAAAACTTAGTAACTTACTCAAAACATAACTTATTAAATATAACAGTGCTGCTAGTGGCCAGTAATGTATGCATTTTAAATAAGAAATAATAGTAATACATCTGAACACAGCTGAAGTTCTTGTTTGAAGTATATAAGGTATCAGCAATCACTTTCTCCGGCCATGCAGATCTGCCAGACTGGGTCCCAGACGAAGCCTGCAGCTACTGCACCACCTGCAAGGCTCCCTTCACAGTGATCCGCAGGAAGCACCACTGCAGGAGCTGCGGA